TTGTCTCCTGTAATACCTGAAACCTGTCTGTGATTGTTAAGGGTCGGTCGTTAAGGAGGAATTGTTCACCGGCTGGAGGGGGTAGGTGCTTTGTTCCTCTGTGATGGGGTGGGGGGTGTGAGGATATCTGGAAGGGATCGTCTCTATAACTGAATTGTACGTTTTTGAAAGCTTGAATCTGAGTCCACCACCTCTGTTTAAAGTTGTTTTTTCTCCCTTGTTGTGTTTGTATTTTGAGAAGAATAGTGGGTTGGTTATGTGCTATCTGTGATTAGTGAAGCAGGACGGTTGAGTTTGCTGAAACAAAGAAGCTGCTGTCAGCGTGGTCATTTTTCAAGGATTCAACGTAGTGGGGAGATGTAGATAATACCAGCAAATATTATTCCCAATAGCAGCACTAAAAATATTTATTTCGGCCTTAACTTTCATATCTCTGCATATCTTTTTATATTAATGCTGTAATGATGATTCATTTCTTCAATTTTCCAAAAAGTAATACTATACTTCTTCTTCCATTAGGGTGACAAAGAACCTCCCGTTCCGCAGCCACGCTATGACTCCTCAGGAGTGCTTTCAGACGTTTATTCACGCCATATTTTATGTGGGCAAAGGAAAACGCTCCCGCCCCTACAGTCACCTTTATGAGGCTTTAGAGTACTACAGAGGGGAGAAGAGTGCCAAGGTAAGACTGCCAGGACACGACTGACCCAAAAAGAGATGCACTGATACCTGAGCGGACTGATCGGCTGATACCCATCTGATACTCCTGTTGAATGAATGACATGTATGCCTTATATTGCTAGTGAAGGAATCAGGTTTGCCATAAAAGGTTTGTTAAAAAAAAGGTAGAAAATCAGGACAGATGTAAATAATCAAGAGCTGAATGATGATGTAATCAGCGTGGCAGTCAGAAAGTTGTAGTTATTGGATCATTGTAGCTTTACTGCGGTGTAGATAGAAATGACTGGATGGGAAACGATGGATCGGCATCGTTCATCTGATCCAGCTGATTAGTAGCGACGCTGATATCAGGGCTGGTTATTAGATCTGTGCATCTCTAGTTGATGTCAATTTTTTTATACCAACTGCTTTTCTTCATCTTGACAGAAACTCTGTCCAAAAGTGAAGCACATCCTGCAGGTATGGACGGCCGGACAGGGAGTCATCTCACTGCACTGTTTCCAGAATGTCATTCCGGTGGAAGCGTACACCAGAGAGGCCTGCATGGTGGAGGCAATCGGTGAGTTGAAACATCCTGCTGATAGATACCCATGCGGTGTATGATGTCTGTCCAATAATAATTTGATAATTTTTTAGAAAAAAATTAAATAATAAATCAACCAAAAGCCATGAAAATCTAATTCAATTCAGAAATATTTGTTTGATCCCAAAGGAAATTAAAAGGTTTATTAATTGATAGTTTTTTATTCAATGTGTTGTTGTAGCTGTAGGCAGGAAGGACCCTCCATGTTGACTCGCCTTTGATTGAAGAAGTTGTGATGTTGTTTAACAAAGTTCTGAAGATGATGCTCTGGGTTTTCCATAATGTTCTGTTTAATCAACATACTGTTTGTGGCCCTATTTGTCCTAAAAATAGTTGCCTCAACCTTACTGTCAAATTGAACTAGTGAGGCCTGCAGTTAATTAGATAAATCTGAGAGGACAAGGAATTAATGGTCCTCGCAGAAGCAGGGCCCCTGGTTCCCCAGTCTGCTTCTTTACGCCCCCACAGGGATTGCCTTTCACCTCTGTAGACTCCCTCTACTTTGCCTCGTTTGGTAGCAAAAGGAACTGAGGAACCTGGACCGAGGGAGTCTGAGAATAGCAGACAGAGAGCTGACCTTTGAACCTGGGCCTCCTTTCCACAGCTTAACCGGGTCCATTTCTTGTGCATTTTGGGCGCCTGCATCAAAACCCCCAGCAGGAAGGTGATAGCAGATGATTCTTTCAAATTTCCACGTTGGAATTCATAACACCCTCCCTTGGATATGTAATAAACATACAAAGTCTTCTCTTTCCCACAAAGGTTTTTGACATGATCTGTTCCCCTATTTTAGAAATGATGTTGGCAAGCACCAAAAAAATCTTTTAAAGTGCTTCTCACAGAAACCAGTCGGTTTTTACTAAACAACAGCTTACCCACCGTGTAGCTAATCTTTTACTTAATCCTCATTCAAAGGTTCAGCTTTATTCCCACCTCAATGGTCAAAGAACTATCAGAGATACGCTCTCAGGGAGCACAGATTCCCCAGGTGCCTTCTGCAGTTAGACCTCTGTAAGTTCCTAACCATGACCGTCTGCAGTGCCTTGCTGAGTGCTCTGGGGTTTAGCGAGGAGACCAACTTCCCATCTGTCAATTCCAACCTGTTCTTCACATTGGGTTTCTTGAAAGTAACTCATTCTTTTCGAGAATGAACAATGAACTGGGTCATTTTCTAGAACTCTTCATTACAGCACAAAACACAGTTACAGTTTGTCTGAAACAACACATTTTAACTTCTCACTTTAATAGCTAAGATGTTTGGAAGCCTGGGATGAAACTCCTATAAAAGAAATGGTTTGCTGACAGCCCTATAACCCGCCCGTCGTCTCTCATCCAAGAAGTCAATTCCAGGACCTTTGTTAACAGACTGAGGCCCTTCGCTGTCTGTCCCACCGCTGCTCAGGCTCTCCTAATACCCCGTTTACACTACCCTTAAAAAACTGAGCCGAGACCGGTCCGAGCTCAGTAACTGAGATAACTTGTCGTGTGTGAACGGAAACAACCTGAACTGAACCGAGATAGACATAACCGGACCGCGCTAACTGCAGACCAGTTCCCGAGGTGGGTTCGGCTCGGTTTTTTCCTGGCTCGGTTCTCTGATAACAAGAGCGCATGAGCAGAACGCGTCATCGCCGACTGGCTGAACATGCCGATTCACACTCCATTCCAGAAAGTCGGCTTCCCAAAAGCCGACTTTCTCAAGTACATCCGCGCAAGGTTGCCGTCTTCGCCTGACCCACCGCAAACACGGAAGTACAGCAATAATAATCAAGCATAACTTTCTGAATGTGACGGGCGCCGCCATTTTGATTTGCTTGATTCCCTCCTCCTTCGTCTTCTTCTTCTTGGGTTTTACGGCGGTTGACAAACAGCGTTTGGTGCATTACCGCCACCAGCTGCTTGAGTCCCTCCTTCAATCCTAGCAGTAATACCGCACATCGTCACTAGGAGGCGAGGAGTCAAGGAGTCGAGATAACCGAGATAAGTGTGACGTGTGAACGGTCGTCAAAACTGAGCTTGGCCTGGTTACCGATCCAAGCTCGGACCGGTCTTGGCCTGGATCGGTTTTTCAAGGGTAGTGTAAATGGGGCTTATGTCTCCCTTGTCAACAAGTCTGCCACAGACATTCAGTGATGCAATAACAGAGGCTCAGCTCCTCGGTTTGCTCTAAAACTAATTTGCTATGGTATCAAAAATGACAAAAGGAGTATTTTTCTTAGTTTTGGTATGGATTTTTTTTATCCCAACAGAAAAAAAAACACGATAAAAGAGAGATAAAACGTCAAATATACTACAGCATAAACAAGGTTAAAAGCCCATCCGAATAGCTGCTTCTTATGTCTTTTGGAAACGGTTTGCCTTTTTGAATGTGTCTAAAATTTCTTGAGGATGTTATGATGGCTAAATCTGTCCTTATTTCAGGGCTGAAAATGCTGACCAATCAGAAGCGAGGGGATTTCTATGGGCTGGTGTCAAACTGGGACTTTAGGAGGAAACGGGAGCTTGGGATCCATCTGCTGTACCGAGCCATGCAGATCTTCCTGGCTGAGGGTGAGAGACAGCTTAGACCAGCAGACATTAGGCAGTAGAGACCCCCCACTAGAGAGACCAGGTGGGGTGGGGAAGACCTGTCACTGGAAAATGCCAACACTGACGAGATGAAATACCACTATGTATAAAGGGAGTTTGACTGTTAGCTGCTTTTAAGCTCTTATTGAGCAAATTCATCAGGGAATGAAACTTTCCTAAACAAATAAAAACAACCATTTGAATGCATATCTGAACGTGAACATGCAACCTTATGTGCAGAATGCAAAAAAAGTTTTGTGTTTTAGGATTCTGCTCTTAAGACAAATTAAATTCCTGCATTAAAACTTGTATAATCCGTGTAACTGAATTGATCACTTCTATCCCATTGAACTGAATATGTACCTGGTCTGCTATATTTTTTGTCATCAGACACGTTGGTGTCACTTTGTGTTTTGTTTTTCTAAAACATTTTATTTTTATTAATGTAATTGTTACCTATTATACATATATAGATTTGCTGGAGGAAAAAAAAAGAAAATAGTGTGTAGTGATAGTAGTGAGCAAATGTATTTTCTTAAAGGATTGGATGTAAAAACAGAATATTTTAACATGGAAGTAGATAATGACATATTTTAGTTTTCAGCAGAACTAGTTTAAACCTTGTTCCTGTGTCACGCCTCTTTAGTTTGCATGCTGGGTCTCAGGGGTTACAGCTGTTACTTGGTGTCATGATCTCCATAATTTTACCATCTCATTTACTACACTTCAGTGACCCGAGCAGCAAGCATCCGCAGAATTTATTATCTCCGCAGGGATTGACGATTGATGAGCTCTCCGAATGTGTTTCTTCACAAAAAACCCATTAGCAGACAAATGCAAACTTTGTGTTTCAGGATTTTTTTTTCTTTACAGCCTGGTAAAAACTATACTAAACATTGTCACTTTAGTTAAACATCTGAAACCAGTTAAGATTCCGTTTCTTAAAGGGTTCAGTCAAATAATCCATTAATCTTAAATGTCACTGTTAAGCTCCCACTATCATTAATGATTGTGTGCATTACTGCTGATGATTTTTTTCTAACATGTATTAGAAATTGATGTTTGTACAGCAATTCTTTCTTCTTTTATGCTTACAATGTATCACTTTTTCTGTGTATTCAACTTCTTTTTCTTCAGTCTTTGTAAACAAAGGGAGAACAGAAAAGCTTAAACTGGAATCTGCTCAGTACCTTGTTGTTTGGGGTCCCTCTAGTGGATGAAGAGTGTCATTGATTTCTTTACATTGTATAGTACTCGCCTTCTGTCATTTTATTTTTGTGTGTTGAGAAAATGTTTGCTTTGTTTTTCATAATTAAATCCTTTAACGGTATATTTTCTGACTCGGATTTCTTTTTAAAAAGTTTTCAACACAGTCTCTGCAGATAATTAGAATTTTCTCACTTTTATGGCTTCAGGTTTTACTTTTGTCCCAATTTTGCCTCTTGGTTGTTTTTATATTACAGTTTATTGTGACCCAAATATTTTTTTTCTTTTTTATTTTTTATTCATTGCTTCAATCTTTTTAGTATAACTATAAAGGAATAGTAATTCATAATTGCTTCTTTAGGCACGTTAAATCTTTTTACTACTCTGTGCCAGCTCCCATGGAATGATCTTCCTTTGGGCATAAGACAGGTCTTCTAATTTGCTGTTTTTTAAGTCTCTTCTTAAGACCCATCTTTTTTCTTTAGCTTTTGGCTCAATCTGAGAGGTTTCACTTTGTTTTATTGTCTCTGTATAATAATATGTATTTTATATTCGATCTTTTCTATTTCATAACGCATTGCATTTTATGATTGTGTACAGCACTTTGGTCCTGTCAGTGTATAAAGTGCTTTATAAATAAAGTTGGTACGGTACGGTACTATAGACAGTGACTACTGTGTTAAGGGTAAGTGATTCTTTAGTAAAAGTAAATTTTTTTCTTTCATGTTTAATCAGTAAATCTTCTGGGACTTACTATGAAATAAAAAGGAGTAAAAGTTTTATCTTTACGCATAAACACTGACATATTTTCCAGAGGTAAAAAATATCAACCCTTTTCCAAGTTTATCTTGTTCTAAAGTAAGTTAAATATAGCTATTTAAGTTACTGGTTCAGCTTATGTTTTTCATTTTTATTTACATAATTCAACTCTAAAAAGTATTTGATTCAAACTTTAACTTATTTAAAGTTTGCATCTTAACACTTATTTAAGGTTAAAAGAAAAATAAGCATTAGTTTAGCAACACAGTTCCTAAAAAGTACAAAAGAAAACTGATGCGCATTGACTTGGCAATGCAAGATGTTTTTTGATTAATCAAACATGAATCATTTTTGCAAGAACTGCTGCTGTTTACTGTTAGCATGACTCATTCAGTTTCAGCTATAGTTTCTAGGTAATTGTTACGCAGCACTTTGTTACCAGCATCATCGTTTTCTCTGTATCACCACAGGCCTTTTTTAATCCCGAGGCAGTGACCCGAATGATGAATCATTTAATCTGATGTGGAGGGGATTCAGAGCTCATCAGAGTAGCTGCTTATTTGCACTAAAACTATTTGCATATTAGCCTTAAATAATAATTGGAAAATGAAAAAGCTTAAAATGCTGATGGCTGTGATGTTATCAAAGTACAATGATGGCCTAAAATTTCCGACAGTCATGACCTCCCTTGCACAAAAAAGTGACTGTGGTCAAGATGCGGTGTTATTTCAGATTTAGAGCCCTTCTGTTATTTCGGTTTAGCCGGTTCTTTCCCGACTGAGTTTCCAACAGTGTTCTGTATAGAACAAAAAACCCCAGATGTAAGCAAGCACTGTATTTTGCAATTTTATTGTAAAAAACGTGGCCTAAAGTAACAGCTATATAGGCTGAAGAGTTTATATTGTGATTTTACTTCCTCCTACTAATTCCTTTTTAAAACTTCTGCTTTACTAAAGATTATTTATACTTTTGATGGACCTAAGCTCGGTTACAGTTTTAAAGGGTTTTTGCATGTTTTAACAACATTAAATGCACAATTGCTGTACAAGTTAAATTGTTTTTCTACAGCTTCACAAACAAAGACACACACTAAAATAAAGACAATATATATATAACATAAAGAATGTCTTATTACTCTTTAATTTGCAGTCGCGCAACCTTTTTAAAATATCCGGTTTTGTGATGTGGAAATAAAAGATAAATGATGTCAAAGATTACGATGAATTAGTTCCAAACCTCTTCCTCATTTAATGCCAATCTTTTAGTGTGGAAGTGTAACTAAAGAATAACTTGGTTGCAAAATGCATCTTGAAGGAGTTTACATTTTGTAACACCAGATATAAAAATAATAGAAACTCCATGGACTCATTATGAAAATATGACCTTTATCATTTTGATTATTTTTTTTTATTTAATAGTAGAGGAGTAGTATTCAAATATGCATTATATCAATTAAAATGAATCTGATTAAACAGAAGTAATAGTCAAAAAAATTTTCCTGATACTATTAACATGTAGAAAATGCAGTAATTTGCAAAAAAGTTACAAAGACAAGGTTATTTTGAGGTGGCAGAACTTTGCTTTGGTTAGCATGGATGAAAATATAAACTGTTCTAGAAACCAGTTTTGATTAGATCTAGATGGAAATGCATGATCTATGGGAAAATCAGATGAGTGCTGTGAATACAACACATTAAAAAACGTATCAAAGAAGAGGGCAAATATTGTCAAGTCCACATTCAGTGAGCCGACTGATTAAACCTAAGATTACTATTAAAATAGAAGCATGTAACATACACCTACACAACTGAGTTATTCTAACTTTGTTTTAAAATATGCAACTTTTACCTTTTCATGTACTATATTTAACTCCATAAGAAATTAGTCAAACCTTGTTAAATTATATATAAAATATTGAAGAATACAAAAGCCAGAAACCGCAGTTTTTAAAGAAAATTTACATCTTGGCTTCCGGTGATTTGATCATTAGGATTTACATATTGCAGCTAAATTTCAGTTTCATTCATGTTTTAGAAGAAGAGCTTTGATTATGCTACAGTTAATCCATGGATTAAATAAAATACAAACACTTTTACTGAGAACTCAAAGTGTGCTTTATTGAAACTGATCAGAAACAGTACATGCAATGTGTTATTAGAGATATACAGTAACATTATACACTGTAGCAGCTGACCTACAATAGAAATGAAAACTACCCAATGCTTCTGTTAAAATAATATAAATATATATACATACCTGCACTTAGCAACTATAAAAAAGATCAAATCTAGCATTAGCATTAGTTTGGTCTATCTTTTCTGCTTCTCTTAATGCCAAACTGTGGAGAAGCCGGTTCACACCACCACTGTAGTTAAAGGAGGTAGACGTGAAATAAATAGTGCCATCATCAGCTCGTCGTGACAAAATTCCTTGTGATGGTGGGATGAAATCTGGGACACAGTTGCATTCATCGTTCAGTGAGCTCTTCCACAAAGTCAAACCCACCGACAGCAATGAATGTTGATTGTGACCTTTGCTGTGCTTTACAAAGCTGGAAGTGTGTCTGGATTATTTCTTTTCCCGAAGAAATCATCAGGCGTTGACGTCAACCCTCCGTTTCTGTGATCCATATGCAGTCGCTTTATCTTTGTCTTTCTTTAAAGCGTTAAAGCCGTCCACAGGGTACAGTCAACGGTCGATGGTTTTTGTTAAGATCAAACTCACCGACAGCGTTGAATGTTCACTGAGGCAAGCAGAGACCTGATGGTGACCAGAGATGACAGTCTCCTGTGGGAGGAGAAACTTCTCTCACACTCAGAAACTAAACCTTTCTTTCAATCCTGGAAGTAAACCGGAAGGATAAATTGAGCTTTTATACTCATGTTGCACAAAAAATTAATGGATGTTTAAAACGATTACAGGTGAGATCAACATTTTTAATAAAATTTTCAAAGAGAAAAAACTGATGGATGTCTATCAAAATCTAACAAAAATAATTTTGAGGGAAATATATAATTATTTTCATTTGAAATGGGAATAAGAACAAAAGGTTGACCCCTAGCTCCCACACGGAAAACCTGTGTATGCAGCTGAAGAACACCAGCAATATATTTAACTTTTAAATGATCTTTTAAAAAAAAGCATTACAAACAAGGGAAATATTCAAGGGAAATGTTGGCAATCTTTCATAATGAGCTCCAAGTCTTCCTATTTGCTAACAATCTAATCTGTACCTTCTTCAACTGAATCACTTTCAGATTCCAGATGGGATTTAAAGCAGTTAAAAAAAAATAAGAATTCAAAGATTACTTTAGCCCTAAAACCTTCCATGTGTTTTGATCATTTTAGGGTTGACTTAACATCAATGTTTCCGTTCCCTTTCACATGACGGGGAAAAGAAAAAAAACGCCCCACAATTAATGTCATAATATAAAACAAATAATCAAAACCTTCTTTAGAATTAACTTTTTAAAAGGGGCAAACAGACGAGCAGCTTTTTAAAGCAGTTTTGCTCCCCTTCAGTAGTTTCCTTCACAGCAGCCTAAAAGAAAGGACTTTTGACTCACCTTTGCTTTAAAACGAGAGACCGAGCTGTGGTGCGAGTATAATTTTACTTCCATGACACACAGTCATAATTACACTGAGCTTCAGTGCATGGGAACACATCTTATTTTTCTGAAAGCAGCAGTTATACAAAGGAAGTCATCTTGAAACTCCTGACTCATAGTAGGTTTTAGTAAACACAGCACCTGGGCAGAGCCCACAGTTGGCTGACTTTTTTTGTTTTGCAGTTTTCAAGCACAGCTGCTCTAGAGAAGCATCAACATGCCTCAGAGGCTTCATGAGCAAATTTAAGGACGAGGGAGAGACCGGGTCTGAAACTGTCGACTCACCCTGATCGGTAGTGCTTGTTGTTTCACTATGACATGGTCTTCTGAGTCTGAGCACCGAAAGACTTAAATGCTCTTTGTTTATCTTTCCTCTCTGCAGTAATACCAAGAGAGAAACTGTCCACTATCTCACACAGTGATGAATCATATCTCATCTTGGGAGGAGGAACAAAGAATGTACAGATAGTAAGGAACAAGACTATCAAACACCATAGAACTTCAGTAGT